GAATAGGGAGCCTGTGGCAGCTCTTTTTAGCTCTGGCTGCGGAGACATGGGCAGAGACATGGTCCTGCTTCTGTTGCCATCCCAGACCTGCTCTCTTCCTAAGATTTATCACTGTTGCTTCTGACTTTCACGCAGCAACTCAAGAACAAAAAACAGACAGAGACAGAGATGCTCTATGGCAGTGCTCCTCGAACACCGAGCAAGCGGCGAGGACTGGCTCCCAACACACCAGGCAAAGCACGTAAGGTAAACACAAGGCTTACGGAAGCACTGATTTCAAGGGAGTGGGTGAGGGTAGTCCCAGCCACCTCTTTGAACGGAGCCAGCCCCTCCACACCCGTAGGTATTTCTAGTCAGGTGGGACGAGAGACAGAAAAGAAATAAGACACACACAAAGTACAGAGAAAGAACAGTGGGCCCAGGAGATGAGCGCTCAGCATACAGAGGACCCATACCTGCACCGGTCTCTGAGTTCCCTCAGTATTTTTTATTATTTTCACTGTCTCAGCAAGGGGAATGCAGCAGGAGGACAGGGTGATAGTGGGGAGAAGGTCAGCAGGAAAACATGTGAGCAAAGGAATCTGTGTCACAAATAAGTTCAAGGGAAAGTACTGTGCCTGGATGTGCATGTAGGCCAGATTTATGCTTCCCTCCACCCAAACATCTCAGCGTAGTAAAGGGTAACGAGACAGTATTGCCGCCAGCATATCTTGCCTCCAGCCACAGGGCGGTTTTCTCCTGTCTCAGAATAGAACAAATATATGATCGGGTTTTACACCGAGACATTCCGTTCCCAGGGGCATGCAGGAGACAGAGGCCTTCCTCTTTTACTAATCCTCCTCAGCACAGACCCTTTACCGGTGTCGGGTTAGGGGACGGTCAGGTCTTTCCATTCCCACGAGGCCCTATCTCTGGCTGTCTCAGTGGGGGAAAATACCTGGACAATACCCAGGCTTTCTTGGGCAGGGGTCCCTGCAGCGTTCCACTGTGCATTGTGCCCCTGGTTAATCGAGAATGGAGAATGGCGATGACTTTTACCAAGCATACTGCCTGTAAACATACTGTTAACAAGGCACATCCTGCACAGCCCTAAATCCCTTAAACCTTGATTCCATACAGCACGTTTCTGTGAGTACAGGGTTGGGGCTAAAGTTGCAGATTAACAGCATCTCAAGGCAAAACAATTTTTCTTAGTGCAGATCAAAATGGAGTTTCTTATGTCTTCCTTTTTAGACACAGTAACAGTCTGATCTTTCTTTTCCCTACATCTCTTGCCCTCTGTCCTGCAGAGAGGGGAAAGGGTTCTTCTGTCCCTTCATGTCAAGTCCACTTGAGAGTGAATGGAAGGCTAAATAGCGGCTTATAGTGACAGTCACAGAGTGGCCAGCTTTGGTGTCTGCGCTTGAGTCCTTGCATTAAATTCGAGGGGTAGGGGGGGAATGATTGCTAACATTCTGGTAATGATGAAAAGAAAGCTTCATTGGTTTTCCCGAAAACCTGTAATGCTGTTTTCCCTGTAAGGCCAAGAGGTGGCCTTGTTGTACCATGTGAAAAACAACGTTCATGCTTACTTACTAAATGAAACATGTAATGATTCTTCATCTCTACAGCACAAAGTCAGAGAGGACTTTATTATTTATTTATTTTTTTTTTTATTTTTATTTTTTTGAGACAGTTTCTCTCTTGTTGCCTAGGCTGGAGTGCAATGGCGTGTTCTCTGCTTACTACAGCCTCTGCCTCCTAGGTTCAAGCGATTCTCCTGCCTCAGCCTCCCAAGTAACTGGGATTACAGGCATGTGCCACCACGCCCAGCTAATTTTGTATTTTTAGTAGAGACAGGGTTTCTCCATGTTGGCTAGGCTGGTCTTGAATTCCTGACCTCAGGTGATCCACCCACCTCTACTTTCAAAGTGCTGGGATTACAAGCGTGAGCCTCTGCGCCTGGCCTACTTTTTTCTTTTTGATAAATAAAAGCATTATTTCTTCTCCCTACTCATAAATTATTTTTAGAGAGCGTCTTGCTCTGTCGCCCACACTGGAATGCAGTGGTGTCATAATGGCTCACTGCAGCTCAACCTCCTGGGCTCAAGTGATTCGCTAACCTCAGCCTCCTACGTAGCTGAGACTTACAGGCACATGCCACCATACCCAGCTAATTTTTTTTTTGTGGGGGGGGGCGCGGTTTTTTGAGTTTTAGTAGAAACGAGGTCTCACTAAGTTGTCCAGGCTGGTCTCAAACTCCTGAGCTCAAGCAATCCTCCTGCCTCAGCCTCCCAAAGTGCTGGGATTACAGGGGATGAGCCACTGTGCCTGGCCTAAAATGTGTGTGTGTTGTTTTTGTTTTTGAGATGAAGTCTTGCTCTGTTGCCAAGCTGGAGTGCAGTGTCGTGATCTCGGCTCACTGTAGCCTCCGCCTCCTGGGTTCAGGTGATTCTTGTGCCTCAGCCTCCTGAGTAGCTGGGACTACAGGCCTGTGCCACCATGCCCACCTAATTTTTGTATTTTTAGTAGAGATGGGGTTTCACTTTGTTGGCCAGGATGGTCTCAATCTCTTGACCTCAGAAGATCCTCCCGCCTCAGCCTCCCAAAGTGCTGGGATTACAGGCGTGAACCTCCACCTCCTGGGTTCAAGCGATTCTCCTGCCTCAGCCTCCCGAGTAGCTGGGATTACAGGTATGCGCTACCACACCCGGCTAATTTTTTATTTTTAGTAGAAATGGGGTTTCTCCATGTTGGTCAAGCTGGTCTCATACTCCCGACCTCAGATGATCCACCCACCTCGGCCTCCCAAAGTGCTGGATTGCAGGCATGAGCCACTGTGCCCAGCTCCCTAGAGTTTTTTTAATTTTAAAAAAAAAAAAAAAAAAAAAAAAAAGTTTTGGCTGGGCGCAGTGGCTCAAGCCTGTAATCCTAATACTTTAGGAAGCCAAGGTAGGGGGATTGCTTGAACTCAGGAGTTCGGAAACTAGCCTGGGTAACATGTTGAAGCCCCATCTCTACTAAAAACACAAAAATTAGCTGGTTGTGGTAGCACACACCTGTGGTCCCAGCTACTGAGGAGGCTGGGGTTGGAGGATTGCTTGAGCCCAGAAGGTTGAGGCTGCAGTGAACCAAGATTGTACCACTGTACTCCAGCTTGGGTGACAGAGTGAGACCCCCATCTGAAAAACGTTTAGAGCTCTTATTAGCATATAAGTTTTGACATATGTACGTTTACATAATGAAACTGTCACCGTAAGTTAGATAATGAACATTTCCATGGTCCCCAAAGTTTCCTAGTGCCTCTTTGTATTACCTCCCTCCTTCCCTGGCTCCTGATTTGCCCTCAGCCTCTAGCTGTGGCAAGTAAGGATTTACTCTTTAACTACAGATATTTGCATTTTGAAACATTTTACATAGAATCCCGCAGTATATATTCTTTTTTGTCTGGCTTCTTTCATTTAGTATAGATTCATCTCTGTTGTTCAATGTATCAAAAAGTCACTCCTTTTTATTGCAGATCAATATTCATTCCACTGTATGAATTTGCCACAGTTTGTCCACTTACCTGCTGATGGGTATTTGGTTGTTTCCAGCTTTTGGCTGTTGCAGGTAGCTGCTATGAACATTTACATCTAAGTCTTTGTATGGATCTCTGCTTTCGTTTCTTTTGGGTAGAGACACCTGAGAGTAGAATGGCTGGGTCGTATGCTAGATGTCTTGTGCCACAGTGGTTGTACCATTTTACGTTTCCATTTGCTGGATATCAATAGGCTTTGAAAATTTTCCACAGGTTTCTTCAAACCTATGCAGTATTAGACACAGCAGGCCCTTCACCATGTAAACCCATCTTCCCTGGACTGCCTCCAATAGTCATTTCTCTGTAGGGTAGAGACGGGTTGCTGGAAATGCTGAGGATGTTACTGCACATAAGTAACCCGTGTGTTCTTCTCTCTAGCTGAACACTACCACCATGTCCAATGCTACAGCCAATAGTAGCATTCGGCCTATCTTTGGAGGGACAATCTACCACTCCCCTGTGTCTCGACTTCCTCCTTCTGGCAGCAAGGTTAGTAAGCCCTGTGTCTAAGCACATCCTCACATGCATCCCTAGCCTGTTCACCCAGAGGCCCCACCTACTTGTTCTGGATTCTAAGATCCCTGGATTTGGTTCTTACTTACATGCTGAGAGTTGACAGATATAAGCTAGCTCACCATTAAATAATGGTCCAAAATTAATGTGCAAAAAAAGAGAACAGTCACTCTGAGCCCCACTGGTATCATGAGAAGCACTGGGATGTCTGGGAAACTGAAGATCAGGCAGGGTCACTGTGGACTCAATTCCAAGCCGACTCAATTCCAAGCCCAGTCTTCAGCTGGTATGGAGCTAGGTCCCCTACATGTGGGTTCCAGCCCAGTGAAACCAGATCACTAGACATGCCAAGTACTCAGTAGAGATGTTGAAAAGTATGTGGTAAAGCACAGTCTTTCCGATATTTTATTAGACTATGCACAAGATAGGTGTTCTGTAAATCAAGAATTCATATTTAAAAAAATTTTTTTCTAGAGATGGGGTTCTGTTATGTTGCCCAGGCTGGTCTTGAACATGTGGCCTCAAGCAATCCTCCTGCCTTGGCCTCCCAAAGTGTTGGGATTATAGGCGTGAGCCACACCCAGCCCCATATATATTTTATTTTTTAACCAAAAAGTATAGGATTATAGACATGAATATAAAGATAGTCTCAGCCATTGACCAGTGCAGGTATTGTGTGTGCACGTTCATTAGAAGGAGGATACATGGATCTCTTTCCTTTCTCTGCAGCCAGTTGCTGCTTCCACCTGTTCAGGGAAGAAAACACCCCGTACTGGCAGGCATGGAGCCAACAAGGAGAACCTGGAGCTCAACGGCAGCATCCTGAGTGGTGGGTACCCTGGCTCGGCCCCCCTCCAGCGCAACTTCAGCATTAATTCTGTTGCCAGCACCTATTCTGAGTTTGCGGTAATTCACCTTTTCTAATATCTACCAGTCTCTGGGGAGCACACAGTTGGGGCAGAGTGGGTATCTTCCCAGGGGCACCCAGGCTATTAGCTAGGGCAGCTACCTTGGAGGCTGAGAATCCCTTTCCTGCTTTGACCATGGCAGGGTGGGTGTGATTTAAGAGGGGGTTGTATAGGAAGGAAGTTGGCAGCAGCAACTAGACATTGAACCTGGATCCTTCTGCTTAATATATACCATTCCCTGGCTGCGGGAGGCAACCCCTCTATCACTGCCCTGGTGCTCTCTTGGTGGAGTTCTTGGTAATTGTCTCAATTCTTTGTTCTTAGAAGGATCCGTCCCTCTCTGACAGTTCCACTGTTGGGCTTCAGGTCTGTATGGCAACCCCTGCATGTCCCATGTCCCTTTTCCAAACTGATCTGTCATCTGCTAGCTTCATTCATCTGGGCACAGGGCTACACTAACCAATAATCTCGGCAGTGTTACAAAGGAAGCAGGAATTCCTATCATGGACTCAAAAAAAACACATCTGATTTACATTCACAACAGATTAATAAGAAAATTTGTTCAGACTTGAATTGGATTCTCAGCCCCTAAAGTCAGGCAGTTTTAAATTGTGTTTTAACAGAAAACCTTGACCCTCCCCAATTGTGACATCAAAGGCCTGCAGTAGCTGGAAAGAATAGAGGCCCCATCACATGGGGAAGGGAGCCCCAGCTGTGTGCTGCCTACAACGAGGCTCTTGGCCTGTGTGCTGATTATTTCCTGGAGTATATGCCTTCCTAACCTCAGGGCTCAACTGCCAGCTCTGTCTATTCTCAGCTAGCTAATGCCGATTTCCTCACCTTTGCCTCTTTCCATACATTGAGCTACTGAAGCATAGAAGCAGCATTGGAAGCACGTTTTTCCAGAATGCTCTTCACTTCCTAGTATCCTACTCTATATCTGCTAACACCTAATTACACTGCCTTTTACTTAATCTATCTTCTCTTCTCTCAATATTTTATTAGCAAGAGGTGAGGATGTCCCTCACCCTTGAGGGGATGTTGAGTTAAACCCCTAGCCTGCCTCCCCTCTTAATTGCTGCAGGGATGGAGAATGGAACAGTTGGCCAAGGCTGCAGCTAATTTTAATCACTGAAACTGGCTTCCTACTCCAGCAAGTTTTTCAAATTACATGGCTGGTGGTGCTTCTACCTATAAAAGTGGGTGTGTGTCACTCTGGCTGACTGCTGGACAGAGGTCCAGCTTTCTCTTTTTTGCTTGTTCAACCAAGGCCCATTTTATCTAGTTGAGGCTTAAATGTACCTGCCTATCTCTGTGGCTAGTCCTAGGTAGGTTCATCTGGTTTGGGTTGCTATGGCTGATAGACTCCACCAGGCAGCACCAAAGCCAGTAAACTAACCTCTGCTAATATCTGTCTTTCTCAATGGCCATTCATGCTTTATCTTTTGCTGCTATACCATGTGCTCCAGCATGAGATCAAATCACCAGCAGGTTACAAGGCCTCAGCCCCAGGGATTGGTAGATATATGTTCTGGCCCATTGTTTTATAGAGGGCTTCAGGAGACCAAAGCTTGTTGCCTACTTGACGACTCTAAAGTAGCTTTGTGAAGTAGAGTCACGCCTCACTTAATGACAGGGATATGTTCTGAGAATGTGTGGGGCAATTTCATTGTGCACATATCAGTGTGTACTTAACAGTCCTAGACAGTACAGCCTACACACCTAAGCTATATGGTATGGCATTTTCCTCCTAGGCTACAAACCTGGGCAGCATGTTACAGAAAGAATACTATAGGCAATTGTGGGTTTTTTTGATTCAGGCTGGGATACTGTAGGCAGTTGTAACGCAATGGTAAGTATTTGTGTATCTAAACATAGAAAAGGTACAGTAAAAATATGGTATAATCTTATGGGACCACCATAGTGTATGTGGCCTGTTGTTAACTGAAACGTCATTATGTGGTGCATGACTGTATGAAGGATTTCTCTTCTCTGAGGTGTAACAGAAGGGACTGGCTGAGGAAAGGGATCACAGGTATGCGTGTACATGCACTCTGTCTATGACTAATAGAATGGTGCTCAGAGTTCTTCGCCTTTTACTCCTAACGCAGCCTATGCCAGGCTGGGGATCTCAGAGAAACTGCCTTCAAGGGACCTTTTGCTGACACTTAACCATACTTAGAAGGGTGGGGCATGTGTAATAGAGGCAGTATTGCCACTGATGTTATTTATTTTTCAACAGCGAGAACTTTCAAAGGCTTCCAAATCTGATGCTACTTCTGGAATCCTCAATTCAACCAACATCCAGTCCTGAGAAGCCCTGATCAGTCAACCAGCTGGGGCTTCCTGTGCCTAGACTGGACCTAGTTATATGGGGGTGACCGTAGTTTTTCTTCAGCGTAGGCGTGCTTGAAACCCTGGACAGGTTCCATGACCATGGGCCTAACTTAAAGATGTGAATGAGTGTTACAGATGAAAGTCCATCATAGGTTTGGTGGTCCTAGGAGACTTGGTTTTGACTTAAATACATTAAAAGTTTATGGCAGGAAGTGCAAATTTTAGCATATGGGGCCTGACCTCTACCACATAATTCTACTTGCTGAAGCATGATCAAAACTTGTTTTATTTCACCACTGTGTAGGAAAATGACTGACTATGCCCATCCCTGGGGTAATTCTGGCATGTATACCTGTAACTAGTAATTAACATCTTTTTTGTTTAGGCATGTTCAATTAAAGCTGTAGCTATCATAGCTTTGCTCTCACCTGAAGCTTTGTCCCCACCACACAGGACAGCCTTCCTCCTGATGAGAATGTCTGTGTGTCTGAAGTTGAGATGGCCTGCCCTACTGCCAAAGAGGTGACAGGAAGGCTGGGAACTGCTTTGTTAAATTGTGTTCAGTTCTGTTACACAGTGCAATGCCCTTTGTTGGGGGTATGCATGTATGAACACACATGCTTGTTGGAATGCTTTCCTCAGCGTTTCTCCCTGGCTCCCATCTCCCCATTCCTGTGCCTACTTTGCCTGAGTTCTTCTACCCCTGCAGTTGCCAGCTGCATTGGAAGTCTGTCTGTTTGTTCCAATGGGTTGGGCTGTCTTTGTCGTGGAGATCTGGAACTTTGCACATGTCACTACTGGGGAGTTGTTCCTGCTCTAGCATCCACGATGAGATGCCCTCTTTACCTACCCTCTCAATCACTACTCTTCTTGAAGCACTATTATTTATTCTTCCTCTGTCTGCCTGCAGCAGTACTACTGTCAACTTAGTGTAAATGGTTCTCAAAAGCTTACCAGTGTGGACTTGGTCTGTGTCGGCCACACTTGTTTACTCATACAGTACGTGTCCTGTTTTTAAAATATAAAATTATTCTTAAAAATAAATTAAAATCTGTATACTTACATTTCAAAAAGATACAGTGTGGTGTTTCCTTTTTATCCCCAGTCACTTTTTGAGTTGGTTGGTCTGTGTGTGAAAAACATAAACAGAAAAAACTAAAAGAACCTCCTGGAAATTTTTTTTTTTTTTTGAGACGGAGTCTTGCTCTGCCCAGGCTGGAGTGCTGTGGCACGATCTCAGCTCACAGCAAGCTCCGCCTCCTGGGTTCATGCCATTCTCCTGCCTCAACCTCCCGAGTAGCTGGTACTACAGGCGCCCGCTACCACGTCTAGCTAATTTTTTGCATTTTTAGTAGAGACGGGGTTTCACCTTGTTAGCCAGGATGGTCTCGATCTCCTGACCTCATGATCCACCCGCCTCGGCCTCCCAAAGTGCTGGGATTACAGGCGTGAGCCACCGCCACCGCGCCCGGCCTCCTGGAAATTTTTAGTCAGGAATGTGATTTTTTTTTTTTTTTTTTTTTTGAGTCTCACTCCATCGCCCAGGCTGAAGTACAGTGGCACTATTTTGGTTCCCTGCAACTTCCACCTCCCAGGTTCAAGCGATTCTCCTGCCTCAGCCTCCTGATTCGCTGGAATTACAGGCACGCATCACCACACCTGACTAATTTTTATATTTTTAGTAGAGACAGGGTTTCACCATGTTGGCCAGGCTGGTCTTGAACTCCTGACCTCAGATGATCTGCCTGCCTCCCAAAGTGCTGGGATGACAGGCGTGAGCCACCACACCTGGCAGAGTGTGATTTTTAAAATACTCTCTGGTACATTTCTAAATTAAGAATATCTCTTATTCTCACTAATTTTTTGTGAGAAATGTAAAACCTAACCCCTGATGTGTAAAGAGCAAAGGGAGTCCTAGGAAGCTTCTGGCTTCAATGTCATTTGTCTCGATATGGGGAGGCTGCCCAACTTCAACAACATTACTGAGGGAGGATGGATATAAACTGTACACATGTGAAGGGTAAGACAGAAAAACCATCACTACAGTCAAGTTAACCAAGCATATCTACCCCAGAAGTTTCCTCGCACCCCTTTCTCATTCCTCCTTCCCAGCCTCACCCTGCACAGCAACCACTGATTTTTTTTTTTTTTTTTTGACATGGAGTCTCGTTCTTGCCAGGCTGGAGTGCAGTGGCGCGATCTCAACTCTGCCTCCCAGGTTCAAGGGATTCTCCTGCCTCAGCCTCCCAAGTAGCTCGGACTGCAGGCGCATGCCACCACACCCAGTAAATTTTTGTATTTTTAGTAGAGACAGGGTTTCACTGTGTTAGCCAGGATGGTCTCGATCTCCTGACCTCATGATCCGCCCACCTCAGCCTCCCAAAGTGCTGGGATTACAGGCATGAGCCACTGTACCCGGCCCACCAGTTTCTTTGTTACTACAGATTAGTTTGCATTTTCTACAGGTTTATTTATTAGGTTTATTTTTCACATTTGGCTTTTCTCCAGTTTTGGGCTATTAAAAATAAGGCTGCTATAAACATTCATATACAAGTTTTTGTATGGATATATATTTTTTTCTGGATAAATACCTAGGAGTGAAATGGCTGGATCACATCTGTGGTAGGTATACACTTAACTTTTTAAGAAATGCCAAACTGGGCTGGCATGGTGGCTCATGCCTGTAATCCCAGCACTTTGGGAGGCTAAGGTGGGCAGATCACAAGGTCAGGAGTTCAAGACCAGCCTGGCCAACATGGTGAAACCCCATCTCTACTAAAAATACAAAAATTAGCTGGGTGTGGTGGCACACACCTGTAAGCTCAGCTATTCAGGAGGCTGAGGCAGGAGAATTGCTTGAACTCAGGAGGTGGAGGTTGCAGTGAGCCAAGACTGTGCCACTGCACTCCAGCCTGGGCAACAGAGCAAGACTCCATCTCAAAGAAAAAAGAAATGCCAAACTGTTTGCCAAAGCAGTTGTAGCATTTTACATGCCTGCCAAAGCAGTTGTACCATTTTACATTCCTACCAGTAATGTATGAAGGTTCCAGTTTCTCCACATCTTCACCAACAGTTGGTATGTTCAGCCTTTATATAATTCTAGTTGTTCTGTGTATGAAGCGGTGTCTCACTATTGTTTCCATTTACAATTCCCTAATGACTAATGATGTAGAGCATCTTTTCATATGCTTATTTGCCATCCTTTTGTCGTCTTTGTTGACTTCTGTCCAATTTAAAAAATGGCTTGGCTGGGCGTGATGGCTCATGCCTATAATCCTAGTACTTTGGGAGGCTAAGGCAAGTGGATCGCATGAGCCCAGCAGTTCGAGACCAGCCTGGGCAACATGGCACAACCCCATCTCTACTAAAAATACAAAAAACTAGCCAGATGTGGTGGCACGTGCCTGTAGCCCCAGCTACCCGGGAGGATGGCTTAAACCCAGGAGGTGGAGGCTGTACTCCAGCCTGGGCAACAAAGAGACCCTGTCCAAAAAAAAAAAAAAAAAAAAAAAAAAAACCTACAATGAAACCCACTTCATACCCATTAGAATGGCTATTAACCAACAAATAGAAAACAAGTATAGATGTGGAGAAATTAGGATTCGTGTACACTTCTAGTGGGAATGTAAAATGATGCAGCCTCTGTGGGAAACAGTAGGGCAGTTCCTCAAAAAAAATTAGAATTACCACACAAGCAATTCCATTCTGGGTATATATCCAAAAGAACTGAAAGCAGAGACTCAGAGTTGTACACCCATGTTCACAGCAGCATTATTCACTGTAGTGAACAACTCAACTATCCACCAATGCACGGATGAATAAAATGCAGCATACACGTACAACAGAATCTTAGCCTTTAAAAGGCAGGAAGTCCGGATACATAAGCTACATCATGGATGAACTTGGAGGACATGCTGCTAAGTGAAATAAGCCAGTCATGAAAAGACAAATACTATGGGATTACACTTACATGAGGCACTTACAGTAGTCATAGAAACAGAAGGTTAGGACTGTGGTTGCCAGGGGCTGGGGAAAGGGAGAGTGGGGAGTTAAGTGTTTAATGTGCAGTCTCAGCATGGAATGACGAAAAAGTTCTGGAAATGCATAGTGATGGTTGCACCACAGTAAATGCATATGTCACTGAACTATGAACTTAAAAACGGCTAAAATTTTCTCTTTTATTGAACATACATTTTATGTTCAGTATATTTTACCACAATAAAAAAGAGGAAAAAAAAAAAACTTAAAGACCCCATGGGTGGGAAACATTTGCTAAACCACAGACACACACATGCACAAATACAATTTAACCATAAAGAAAACTACTGATGTTAAACTTACTTTATCAAAATAAGTTAATACTTGTAAAGCACTTTGAGCCTTACCTGGCATGGAGTAAGCATCACCTAAGTATCAAACAAAAATTGGTAATACCAGGAGAGACTGAAACAACAAACTACACGGTAGCAGAAGATACTCTGAATACTAACTCTCAAAAGACTTGGATCTGAAATATCGAAAAGAAAAATCACTAAGGAAAATACAGAACATTTTGAAAGGCCAGAAAACTTGAACAGGCATTTCGCAACAGAAAAACTTCAAATGGCCAAGAAACATATGAACTCTTCACCTCAAGCAATCACCCCACTTAGCCTCCCAAAGTGCTGGGACTACAGGTGTGAGCCACCATGCCAGCCATCCAATACACAAATGAAAAGCTACTCAACCTCATCAGTATTCAGGGAAATGCAAATTAAAACCAGTGTGCATCTACCTGACATTTCAGCCACAGTAGACACCACCCTGCTGGTGGAAAACAGTTATCTAGTAAAATTAAAGGTATCTCTTGACTTAGCAATTCAACTCAATGTTCTGCAAAGGAACCTGTGCACGTGTGCAGAAGACTGCTCAAAGTATTATGTGGAATGACCAAAATCAGAAACAAAATGACCATCAACAAAACCGTATCACTTGAGGTGTTATTCGTACAACGGAACACCATATAGCATTAACAATGAAAGAACTCCAGGACCCAACAAGGATGGATCACACAATGCTGAGTGACAAAAACGACACAAAAGCGCATATACAGGATTCCATTTATCCAATACTCAAAAGCAAACACAACTATGTCGTATAAGGATGCATGCAAGGCTGGTACAATTCAAACGAAAGCAGGAAAGTGACTGACAAAGGAAGATGACCTGGAATGTGCCCCAATCTCAGCTACACATCAAATTACCTGGGGTGAGGTGGGCGGAGCTTTGAATCTACCAGTATCTAGGCCACACACCCAGAGGCTCTGATTTCGTTGTTTCATGGATTTCATTGTTTCATTGACGCTGATCTTAGGCAGCAGAGTTTTCAATGTTCTCCAGGTGTTTCTAAAGTGCAGACAATTTTAGGATGGTGCTTGAGGGTGAAAGGCAGGACTGTGATGGGGAGGGGCAAATACAGGGCCCTTGGGGTGCAGGCAACGGTTTTCCTTGACCTGAACGGGGGGTTTCACAGGTGTTGTATATACATATACATACACATGTCAGCTCTTCCCTTTCTCCACAGCATACACGTAGGTGTTCCAGGGCCCACAGGTGACAGCCTTTACTTGGAGTTGCTTGTCTACAAAGTATTCCACACGGCGGGGCCAATCCAAGCTGGTGGTGTCCTCGTGGCCCAGCTGTCCATATTTACCTAAAGTGAAAGCAGCCCCTTTGCCATAGTTTCCACTGGGTCTTGCTGCTTCTTTCCCTCCAGGAAGGGGCCCAGACTATCAAATGAGGTGCTGGGATTATGCCCCACTGCTCTGTGACTCCAGGAGACCCAGAGCCAGGCAAACTTGAGTATCCCCAAGAGGCTAGTGGCGACCAGCCACTCCAGGCAAGATGCTCCTCCAGACTTCCCTGCTACCCAAGCTAAGATGTTCAGAGCACACATTTCCATCATACCTTTTTATCCACCCAGTGTCACATCCACAAAAAGCTGCTTTGTAAATGCTGGTTGGATACTCCCTTAAGACAGTCTTTCAGACAGGTAGGCAGGTGGTACCGATATCCTCTCCATGTCTCCCCTGTCTGGTCTCGGACTGAGTGTGCCTACGTCTGTTCCAACCCCAGGGAGGGAGCAGTCCTGGTCCTCCCAGTGACCTGGCCGAGGCCCCTGCTTCCTCTAGTCTTGGTGGCTCTGTCACCTGCCCTATACTCCCAGGTCTTTCTTCCCCTTGGTTTCATGGTCACAAAAACAATCCTTTTACTTACCCCAGCCCCAGGTGTAGAGCTCCCCTGTTCCTGAAAGCAAAAGAACAATCAATAGTTGTCACTACTGTTCTTTGGCAAGGCATTTATCCAGCCTGGCTTGGCACAGCCCACCGCTAGCACATTATAATCGTCATGAGATGTGCCTGGCATAGAACAACATATTCTCAACAACTGGCTGATCACATGTGGCATGGCAAAGGATCCCAACGGAAAAAGTGGCGGATCTTCCTGTGTGCCCCAACTACCGAGTGCCACAGTCTTCCTCCATGCTGGACTGGACAGACTCTGCTGTCAGAGGTGGCGGCAGGCAGGGAATATGTCTGTGGCCATGTACGGAGGACAGAGAGCATCACCCTCCCACCAGAAGGAAGAATCTTCTGAGCTTGACAGGCTGGGGAACTACTGTGAAACAACACGGGGGTTGGGGCTTATCCACTGAGCAAGGTAGCTGCTCTGTATGAGCCACAGAAGCCTCATAACAGAAGTTTTTCCGTCAACCACACCCCTTTCCACAGCAGCTCGAGTGGCGTGGAGTGCCTTCCTGCTCCATCCTAAACCAGCCTCCCAGCCCCACTCACGTGTCACCACAGCTGTGTGCCGGGATCCACAGCTGACCTTGACTGCATCTGAGCCCAAGGGGAGATCCAGTAATGCTGGGAAGGGCTGGACAGCTATGAAGGGGGCAGGGGCTCCATCCTCAACCTGGCCCGTTCTCTTCACCTGAGAACCATCTTCATTCAGTCCTGTGGCTTTAGAATTATAATAATAATGATGTGAACGCCAACTGAGCCCTGAGCTAAACCTTATTCACGCTGTCACTTATTACCACAACAGCTCTGAGGCACATGACTGTCTAGCTCCAAATCTGGTGCTCCCAACCCCTACATTCTACAGGCAGGGTTGGCACTACCACACAAGTGTGTTGTGCCAAGACTGGCATCAGCCTTGCCAATGCTCCCTCCCGTAAGGGGCTCACATGCTCCATCTGAGCAGTGTAGCTCTGAGGCCAGCATACAGCCAGGAGTTAGGAATGACAGCCACATCCTGGGGAGACAGCTGTGGGAGCCGAGTTCACCCTCACCTTCCCTTGCGACAGTCTCTCCATCCTCTGCCAGGTTCCTGGTGGGCAGGGCCAGCTGCCCCGATTCATTCCAGCCCCAGATATAAATATCCCCAGTCTCTGAAAGAAATCAAGGGGACACATGAAACAGACTGTGAACCCCCTGCATACATGCAAACTCCCTTCCCCATTCCATCCGCTCATGGGGACAACTAAAGCCTGCCCTGACCAAGGCGGCACTCCAGGCCAAGGTGCTTCCTCTCAGGCCCCAGGGTCTTGTCTTAGGTTTCCATCTCCCTCAATGCCTTCAGATCACCCTTTAAGGCCCTTAGTGGACCTTCCACTTCCATTTTTATGCTGCCAAATTGCCCCGCATTTTAGAAACGTATCCCTGTAAGTGCCGCGGCGGTCTCCCTTTCAAAACCACAGGGCGAAGGCCAGGTGTGGTGGCTCATGCCTGTAACCCAGCACTTTGGGAGGTTCAGATGGATGGATCACTTGAGCTCAAAAGTTCGAGACTAGCCTCAGCAATATGGCAAAATCCCTCTAAATAAATAAATAAAACCACCACTGAGCCGGCCTGTGCCCCTTTTTCAACTGCACCCGCAGCAGTCCTGTTGAAAGCCATGTACGGCTCTCCCCTTCCTGGCCTCCCACAACACTAGAGCTTTTTGGTTGGAACAGCTGCCTAATTCTAAAAATTTCTAATAGCTGATTTTATGAAGTGCTTAATCCATGCTGATGTTTCATGTGCTTTTCAAATATAATCACTTAATTCTCACAATAGCCCTACAGGTGGTTTTATGACAGTATCACCATTTACGCAGGATCCCTATTTTATTCACGACAATTGAAGTACAGAGGGGTTAAGTACCAGGCCAAGGTCCCAGGGCCCCAGCAATGATCTGAAACTAGGAAGTCTGGCGGGATGCGTCCATGCTTCAATCTCTACACTAAAGGCCTCAAACTCCTTCTGGGCATTGAGCGCAGGGCGTCTCAGTGGGTTGTTTCCAGCCCTCTGGTCTCTCTTCTCTCCAGCCCAGGGTTTGTTTGTTTTTTTCTTTGAAACAGTCTCACTCTGTCACCCAGACTGGAGTGCAGTGGCATGATCTTCGCTCACTGCAACCTCCGCTCACGGCTCAAGTGATCCTCCAGCCTCAGCCTCCCGAGTAGCTGGGACCACAGGCACGAGCCACCATGTCCAGCTCATTTTCATATTTTGGTACAAAGACGAGGTTTTGCCATGGTGGCCAGGCTCAGCCCACGGTTTCCTGAGCTTGGCAACCAGCCCAGGCTGGTTCCATGAGAATATGGTGCCGGGGAAGGCATTGGTTTTTTTTTTTTTTTTTTTTTTTTTTTAGGTGTGGGTGCCCCTTTTTGTCCCCCAGGGGGGGTGGAATGGCATGATCTCGGCCCCCCGCCACCTCCACCTCCCAGGTTCAAGCAATTCTCTTGCCTTAGCCTCCTGAGTAGCTGGGACTACAGGCACATGCCACCACGCCCAGCTAATTTTTGTATGTTTAGTAGAGATGGGGTTTCACCATGTTGGCCAGGATGGTCTCCATCTCCTGACCTCGTGATCTATCCGCCTTGGCCTCCCAAAGTGCTGGGATTACAGGCATGAACCACCGCACCTGGCAGGCATTCGTAGTTTTTTGTTTTTGCTTGAAACAGAGTCTCACTCTGTCGCCCAGGCTGGAGTGCAGTGGCACAATCTCGGCTCACTGCAACCTCCACTTCCCAGGTTCAAACGATTCTCCTGCCTCAGCCTCCCGAGTAGCCAGGACTACAGGTGCGCACCACTGCGCCCAGCTAATTTTGTATTTTTCTTTTTTGAGACGGGGTTTCACCATGTTGGTCAGGCTGGTCTCAAACTCCTGA